ACCTCCTCCAATCATCTATTTTTTTTTTCGTCTTTGCTAAACCTATAGAGAAGGCTGATACCCTAGTGTATGATTAACATTACTGCATGGAGTTGGGGCATTCATGTTTCTCCTCTGAGGTGTGCATTAGGTTTGCAGTGTTACCCCCAGTAGTCCCCATCACCCTTGTGCCACCCCTGTACCCCACTGACATCAGGAGCTACAGAGCCTGTCATGAGCAAGCAGCACACCCCGAGCCTCAGACTGGTGGGGCCTGAGAACTGTTCTACAGGCAGTGTTTGCTATTCAACAAAAAAATCCTTCCCTTTTCTCTTATAAAGTATGTATTTTAGCACCGCTAAACCAAGTAGTTTGTTAAAAACAGATGATTGAAATACTGACTACAGAAAAGGCTTGTTTTTATTCTCTCCGATGCTGTCCTGAGGTTGGCTGTCCTAACTCAAGCAGGTGGACTGAGCTTGTTGTGATTTATCGTGTTGGTTGTTGGTAATAAACTGCTTGTCTGCTTAAAAAAACAACGCAAGTCTGGATTCCAGCCATTAGCTCTGACAAGGTGTCATTTTACGAGAAAGCTCTCCTTCAGTTCATATGAAATGGTACCAGACTTGGGATTGCAGTAGTGAAGGCTGCACATTTTTCAGTGCCAGTGTAGTCTTACCAACTGACAGCTTCGATACTAATGAGCGCTTAATTTCTTGTTGTTAATTAACATCAAAATGCCAGACCCTCTACAAATGAAGAACTACACGTCTCATTAAGTGCAGTGATTACCGTTTGCCACTAGAGGGGGATATGTGTCTAGACGAGAGGGTGAGAAAACTAGGTTTCAGTTGAGCTAGAAAATCAGAAGCTGTTCAAGTATGCCAGTGGGTTTCACTTGGTTCATACCCATCTCCCCATGTATTCATCATGTTATCTTACTGCTTTTTATGTAATATTAGACAACCATTCTGCGTAGCAGTTCTATTTGACCAGTTCTGCAGCAAGACTGCAGCTCTTCAATTTTGTCGCTCTGGGAGCTGTTAGCTCTTTCCGGGTGGTATTCTCACAAACTGTCTGTGCATTTGAAATGATCATTTAATATGTTTATTCTGCCTTCAGACGTGTTTTTGTGTCTGCGGCTGAAATCATCTGTGATATTATTTCTTCTTTTAAAACATTTCTAATATTGTTTTATCAAATTTACAGCTGACACCAGCTGTACATGTTCACCCTCTTCTTTACTGCCCTTGCTACAGATAATGTCATCTCTGCTGCATTCAGTGATGCAGGGTTTAATGAGATTGCAGTGAATGTAATTAGAATTTGTATGTTGTTTTAAAGGCCCAATACACAGGTTACCATTTCAGTCAGGAAGATAAATTGTATCAGCTTTGAACAACATGATAATCCCAAATGAACGATGGAAACGAGGGGTCAGTAGCTTTCTAATAACGAGTGTTAGAGGGGTATCTGCTGAATATATGGTGTGAGGTCTGACAATTACCCTGGTGTCTGATAGTTTTTAATCCATATGAGCTCTCAGTTACTTGAACACTTTATTGATTTAGAATTGTTTCGATTTTCAGCTCTTAAACTGCTGGGGCTTTGTAGTTTACTGTGGAATTGCACATGTAACTTTAAATGTGCCACTCTAGAACAGAAAATGATTCCCATTAGGCAAATTTATAGTTTATTTAATGGATCTCCTTGGTGGTTTGGTATAACTGATACTGTGCCGCTGCACAGCCGTGCTTTTTTTTCCAGTCATTTTAATTTTCATTGATCACAGCGGCTGACGAATTGGATAACCCCTGGGGGGGAGAGTCGCTGCAGAACACATTCGGATTAGTGCTTCTCGGCAGGGTCGCCCCCCCCCAGTTCGGACTTGGGGTTCCTGCTCGGAAGGTTAAGTAACAGATGGCTTGGCTGGCCTTGAGGGCTACACCTGCGAAGTCCTGCACTGACCTTCCATCTTCCCCGTCCACTGCAGTGCACCTGCGGTCCTGAGCCTTTAATCAGTCCCTGCTGTGACACATCCCAGTCGTGAGACTTGCAGAATGCAGAACTGCTCAATTGGGCACACGGACCCAACAGTAGAAGATGGATGATGATGATTTAATAAAATTGCCGTATGTTTGGCAGTTTGCTGGATTCTGAAAAACACAGCATTTATGCACATACGTCTGTTACGCCACATTTTGTTGAACACCTCAGGGTAACAGCTCCTCGTGGTCATTCTCCCAGGCCCTGAGCAGTTCTAGGGCGTAGGAAATCCTAGTGTCTCCATCTCCACCAGATGGAAATTCAGTGTAAAAGTGGTCTATTATCAGCAGGGAATTGGTGTTTAACAAGTTTCTAGTTATGCCTTTTCTCTTAATTTCAAATAACCGGGGTCAGCCTTTACTTTTATGGTCAGCTATTAACCTTAGCCCTAACACTAACTTTTATCCTTAGCCGAACAATTAATTTGTGCCAGCTTGCACTTCATTATAGCTCTAGTAATTACTGTATGACTGGCAAGAATTGCCTTCTGTGCATATCCGATAATAAGGAGAGAATTTCATGAATAAAATACTAACTACAAATGCATGCCAGATTGATTTCCAGGTTTTAGCTTTTCTTGCATGATGCAGTTCCTGCTCTGCCAGGTGTGGGCTATTCTAGGTCAGCTTTTCTGGATAAACTACTGTACCTGGTCTGCTGCATGAAAGTCTTGGAAACAAGGGAATGTAGGCAACTGCAGAGTGTTTCTGGAAGCCAAAGTGTTACACATTAAATGTGCTCTTGGGGTAAAATGCGGTTTGCAGTTTCTGGTTTTGTGCTGCACAATGATTTACAGACTAGTCACTGTTCATCACCTTAATGGCAGTCTTTGCAAAAAAGCTTTCTCAGATGTAAGGAAAACCAGGTTGCTGCCGTAAGAGATCGCTTTATTGGCCATATACAGTTTGTGAGACACACAGACATGGAGAGAGAAGCTGGGGGTCAGAGCACAGGGTCAGCCATTTATATGGCGCCCCTGGAGCAGTTTGGGGTTAAGGGCCTTGCTCAGGGGCCCAGTGGTGTAGGATTCCTCTGCCGGCTGCGGGATTTGAACCGGCAACCTTCCAGCCACAGGTGCAGATCCTGAGCCACAGAGCCACCGCTCCACCCTAGGTGGTTAAGCTAGTGTGTCGGTAGCTGGTGCTTTTCCCTCTGGTCTGGAATTTACAAACCCTGTGCAGTAGGAGGTGCTGTCCTTGGGATGAGAGGATCTAAACCTAAGGCCCTGGTTTCATGGCCATGAAAGATGGCGGGGCTGTTCATGGGAGTAGAGGTGTTAACCTCAGTGTCCTGGCTGAATACCTGTCTGGGCTTGAATAATATGGCCTACATCAAAATTTCCCTTAACTCAGTTGGTGAGCTAGTATATCATTCCTCCACCTCATTCCACAGTACAGTGAGTCAGCTGGTGTGGAATAGCTGTTGGGCATCACCCGAATGCAAGAATACAAGGAAATACTTTCATTTAAATGCATTAAATGTGTCCCTTTGGTGACTGTACCACAACGGGCTTGGAACCATGTGCTTCCTTTAGCACGTTGAGATCTGGGTTAGCAGGTGAAGGTTGTGGATACTCTGCACGGTCCTTTTCCTTACACAGGTTCAGAAAAAAGAAATCTTCATACAGATAACATCAGGCAAAGACAGTCTCATTTTAATTACTGTTTCTTTGTTTAAATATTAAAAAGACTTATATGTGTAAGAAGTAAACATCCAGTTTGAATTTTTATTGTAAAATTGGAAAAAAAAGAGAGAAAAGCCCAAATAAGCATCTCTTGTTTTCAGTACATACTTTTCATATATATATAATAACAGAAATGAAAAATAAATCAATACATAGGTTGGTAATAAATAAATTAAATAAAAACAGGTCAAATAAATAAGTAGATAAAATCAGAAAAATAAATAATTACATAGTGAATAAATTAATAAAATGAATCAAAGCAGCGAGTTTCAGATAACAAAAGTGGAAAGAAAAAAGGGTTTGGTTTCTCAGGCTTTTACTGAACATGTCTTTTAATTAAAAAAGTAAGATCCCAGTTTCTACTGCAGTTCACCAGCTGTAAAGACATCGTTCGGTTTGTTTTTTGTCCTGGAAACCTCTGAACAGTGCCCTCTGGTGCAAAGTTTTGTAATAACACTGAAATCCCCCCCTCCCCCCTTCAACATTTCAGCTACAACCAGCAGATATTTCCATATTCTGCCTATGGTTTTGTTTTGTGCTGAGAAACCAGAAGTTTTAACAAGATTTTAAACAGCGTCCCAGACCCACCCCCACCCCTCCACCCCCCTCCATCCCAGAAGGTCCTGTGCTGACAGTTTTCCCTAAATATACAGATTTCATATTTATAGTAAGCTATGATTTTTTTTTCTTAGCATTCAAACCATAGTTAAAGAATCATATTATTAATAAGAGTATTATAATAATCTTTAACACCCTCCCCCCGACTGAGCATGCTCAGAGAATGAGTGGCAGTGGCCAAAGAAGGAAGTGGAGCTGCAGTGACCAGAATGATTGTTTCTGTAAAAATGAATGAAAAAATTCCTAGAAGACGCCTTCTCCGCAGCGGAGATCTGCTGGGGAAAATGTCTCGGGAGCCTGGCAGCGGTTCCCTCCCTAGATCTTGTGGACAGCGGCGGCAAAGTGAAGCCTCACTTCCCACGAACACGGGGGACACGCGCGACGCCATGCTTTTCTGGCGGGAGGGAGGGCCTTTCCTGTTCCTGAGCCGCCCGTGGCACCCTACAGACTTACCTCGGAGAGGCGCTGCCCGAACGCGTGCCCCGGCGTGCCAGCCGGCAGCTTCCTGTCCGCGGAGCTGCTGCTGCTGCTGCTGCGACCGTGGAGCTGTGGGGCGGGGGCCGCCTCCAGCTGCGCAGCCGGCTGCGCAGTCGTCCTCCCGCGCTCTTCGCCTGGAACGGCCGCCCGCCGCCGTCAAGCCGTTCTGCAGTGGCTGGGTTTGGTTTGACATCGATTTTTTATTTTTTTTTAAAAGATCAGGAAGAGAGCAGTGTGTCGGCGTGCGGAGGCTCACAAGAAGACCTCGAGGGAGAAGTGTCGACGCTTCTCTCTCGGCCACGGCGACGCTTGAAGAAAAATAAACGTGCTCCTTGTGCAGTGAAACCTGCCTGTCCGTTCTGTCCATGCCTTGGTGCGTTTCTCACAGATTGGCTTGGACGCGGGTAGTAGCCCTGCTCGTCATGCACAGAAAAGGGGGCCGCACGTGGGCTCTCCCTCGACTTCCTGAAGTACCTGGGGCGCGGCCCGGCAGATCGGTCCACCCTGAGTGGCTGCGTTCCCTCCAAACAGTGGCCTGTCCCCCAGCCTGAGCTGCGTGGTGGTGCCTGACTGGCTGGCCTTGGTTGCGGCTGTCGGCGATGATTGTTGGTCAAGCAACCGGCCAGACCTCCAGGTACTTGGAAACAGGAGCAGGACATCTTGATATCGACTGGTCTGTCATATGAAGTATATCTTTGCATTATTACACTGTGACAGTTAGTCCCGATGAAGTCATTGTCGCGTTCTGTGCCGTGTAGTCTGGCGGTGATGCAGGACACTTTCGGCATTGCCCTGGCTGACTCTGTGTTCTGGTACGTCAGGATGATCAAAGGATCCGCACTCAATCCTACTTCAGTCTTTTTGCTGGTGGGGAAACGTTGCTCTCCTTCAGATCCTTGGAAATGCTGATTCTGTGTTTATCTAAAGAGCTCCTATTCAGAGTCGGCAGATTAAATGTGGCCCTGCCAGGGCCCCACAGGCCCTCTGTTGGAACATGGTGGGTGGAGGGGCTGCTGGAAAGTGTCGCCACCTGCTGCAAGTGAAAAGCTCCTTCACACATCACGGGGCTCGGCTCAGGATTCACGAGAAGAGCACGGGGTCTGAGGGTCAGCGACGGCAGTAAAGGACAGGGATGATGTATAACGTGAAATGCAGGGAAACAAAAGTACCCAGAGATGAGCTTCACCTTGGACACGTCGTGCATTTTTGTTCCGGTTCGTGTTACCCGTTAACTAGATACATTCTGATCAGTGAATTTGCTTCTTTTTTTGTTCAAACGAGCACAAAGGACAGGGGTTACCTTGGCCCTCTGAGCCCGAGACACTGTAGCCACTCGTGTCTTTCAGCATTCCTCGCTACTTAAGAGCGCGTCTTGGCAAGTCCATTTTTTTTCTCCCGCAGCAAAGCTGTTTCTTTGTGTTAAATAGCTCAGTTGCATTTGCTTTTCTTTAAAAAAAAAAAGCTTGTTATTGTGCACTGCAGCATTTCATAAGACACTAAAGTGTCGCAATGTACCTGGGCAGACAAGAATGTGTCACTGGGTTTCTTACTAGATGAGACGTTCTAAGTTGCAGACTTCTAGTTTTCCTGTTGCGGATTGTGGTGCACCCTCCGATTCCCGTGCTTTCTGCCTGTAAGCCAGATTCTGGGGATCCCCTGGTGTCTCCCACAGTACTCCTCAAGGTCTCCATAATACTTATTTTGTTAAAGAAAATCTTATCTAGTGTGCCAAAACCCTCACTTGGTAATCTGTGTGCCCTGATTGCTATAAACACAGTTTCCAAAACATTAAGAACAAATATTCTGGATCTCCTGCTCCTGTCTTGCACGGCTCTATGTCTTTTGCCCCTGGTGTTGTTGTCATTATAATTATTGCACAAATTTGGTTTTCAGGTATTTTGGAACTGTGTGTTTGGGGTGGGGTGGGGTGGGGGGGGTCTCCCAGCTGCCAACAGAAAGCCTTTGAGCATCCCTGTGGTGGAGTGACTGCAGATTGCGCCAGCTTGGCAGAATGAGAATCAGATGGCACTTTTATACCCACAGTTGGGGTAATTTGTGTGTTTTATTAACCGGTTAAAGATGTTGAGCTTTTTACTGCTGTATATCCCTGGTACCGGCTGGCACTTTTACAGCCCTGCTTTACGGTCAGATTATCCATATTATCGGCGCTTTAATGATGTTGCCTCCGTGTTTTTGAGGCAGGGTGTTTTTTGCAGAGGTAGCTAGGAACGACGGCCACTGAAAATGTTAAGGGGAATGCCTGCTGGCTGGAAATGCTCAGAGGCGGAGGGATCGAGGCCGCTGTATGTGGTATTTTAAGCCTGTGTTGTGAAGACTGCGTGTGTGACAGTGAGGTCCCCTGGAGAGCTTTTACTGCATACGCTCCAGGGCTGTTATTCACCTCAAACCTGCGCTACTAATGGCCAATTTAACGTAAGGAGAGGAAGGGAGACGGATGCAGCAGAATCGCTGAACATTATGCTACTACATCATCTTGTTGCAAGTCTCTGTAAAATGTCAGATGTAGGCCTCAACAGACTTTGGTTAAGATGTCTGTGCAGCGCTCCGTGTTCAATGTTGCATGTACTGCTTTATTTGTTGTGGCCTTTTTTAACAGGAGAAAGAGGGTCCAAGGCCAGGTGTAAAAATGTGATATGAATGCCCACTGAAAATACGGTGCATCTTATTATTCTGCACATTTTCTGCCCCCCCCGTACTCTGCAATTTATTCGATGTCTAGAAGGGCAGTGTGAGAGAGCCATGTTGAGAAAGGTCAGTACGTTTGAATGGGTCCTGGTTGCATTGCTCATCTGCTAGACTGTGCCCTGAGTTCTGTAAATACCGCTTTGATGATGAGTCTTGCCTCGCCTTGCTAATTAGTGCCGTGAAATACAGAGTGACCACAGGATTTGCAGAAGGGCCGCACCTGAAGTGGAGGCCTATCCGTATTGTAAAAACGAAATTCGTTTATTTTTTTACAGTATATTATACTTGTGCGTGTGCATGCTCCAGACGTGCCCCCTGTGAAGGGTCTCGAGTCTTGGGTTCTCTTTTTTCCCATGAGTGAGGAGTGTAGATCTGAACATGCCCATGACAATCTCTAATCAACATAGTCTACGCCACTAAAACAGCTTTAAAATATTCTCCTATTATAGCTTTTTAAAACTTTTTTTTCTTTTTTTGTTTAAATATCCTGAAACCTGGTAAACTATAAAGGCGAAAGGAGAAGTCCCGAAATTCCTTTTCCCACCTCCGTCCTCAAAACTATTATTCCTCTTATTTCTCATTCTTAATATTATTAGTAGTATTAGCATTATTATTATACATTACAGTTTAGAACAATAAAAACGTTTGGTCCTTTGGTCCCTAAGGGGTTGAGAGAGTTTCAGTCATACTGTTGCTATGGAAACCTCAGTGACCTCAGAAAGTCATAGTTCTGCGCTTGCCAAGGAGAGAGAGGGATACAGAAAAAGAGAGAGAAAGAAGTACTGTAGGAGACAGATAGAGAGCAAGACAGAAAGGGAACTAGAGATACAGCGAGTCCTTAGGTGGGATAGGCTAGCTTCTCTTTTCCTGTTTTTTTTTATTCTTGATCTTCAAGTAATAACCCTCATTTGTCCAGTCCAGTAAAACCAAAAAGCTACAAGCGCCTCTCTCATCACACTGAATATATGTGTATATATATTAATATGTATATAGAAATCTATTTCTCTTCCTGCTGTCGGCGCTGCCGTTAGTTGCTTAATTGAGATTTCAAGTCTTGACGAGGAGGAGCTGTGTGGTTAAAAGTTTCACATCTCCCAGCTCGAGCCTTCTTATTGGCTTGGCGTCGTCGTCATCGCTGATCAGCTCATTCTCTCCGCGCAGTGCAAACTCCTCTCTTTTCGGGTTGTACGTCTTTCGCAAGTAAACGCCGATATGTCTTCAGAAATCCCTTTAAGTCATTTTTTTTCCCCCCATCGTGGTTGTTTTTCTTTTTTCCTTATTTTTTTTTGTGGTTTTGATTTTTTTTTTGTAAAGAAAAAAGTTGGACTCCTTGCAAGATCATTCCCACTTCTCTGCGACACCTAGAAGGGGGGAGAGGGGGCAATGTCAGGGCGACGGCTACATCCATCCCATCCGTTTTCGAAACACATTGCGCAATTCGGGGACCAGGGGGAGCCAGAGCCTATCCCAGCAAGCAGTGGGGGCACGGCAGGGTACACCCTGGACAGGACACCTGTGCTTTGCAGGGCAGAAGGACAGACACACTCGCACCAGGGCCAATTTTCCCGGAAGCCAGTGCTCACAAGCACCACTACCAGCATGCCTTGGGACAGTGGGAGGAAACTGGAGCACCTGGAAGAGACCCATGAGAACAGGTGGAGAACGTACGAACTCCACACAGACAGCACCCCAGGTCTGAAATTGAACCCAGGACCCCAGTGCTGCAAGGCAGCAATGCTGACCACAGCGCCACCGTGCCTCCCCGTCATAGCTACAGTCTTGTCTGAAAATGAGATGCATTCGAAATCGGAAACTTAATAGCCCCCCCCCCCCACACTGTGTTCTGTGTTGTGTTGCCAACGCCAACCAGAATGCTAAAGATGTCACACACATCTAAATGTGTTGCATCTCATTACACAGGTCTGTGGATTTTCTGGAGTACTTGATTCTACCTGCTCTGTGCTGGGGTACAGGTGGGCAGAGTGCTTACCTGTGCTGTTACTGTAAATGCCATAGGGCGGGCTCTGTCAGTAGGGGCGGCTGGCGTCCTTTGGCCGTTTCAGTTGGACTTTCAACCGCTTCATGCCGATCTGGAACCCATTCATGGCCTGGATGGCAGCCTGCGCGCTGGCTGGGTTATCAAAGCTCACGAAGCCTGTGGAGAGCGGTGCGCACGCACAAGGGGCATGTCACAGGGCGCCACGTGCACTTGGACCGTCCATCAGCTAGCATCTGAACTGTGGCGTACAACAAGCCGACGGTGGGCGCCCTTCTCGTCCAGATGCACTGCCGATGACCGCAAATGCACAAACGGGGAGGGTTGCGTGTAAAACGCCCTCCATTCCCCCTCCCCCCCCCATCTCCCCTTTGTGCAGTATAAGGGTGTAGCGCGCACCCACCAGAGAGCAGGCGCGCTCTAATGCTTAAAGGCACATGCTCACGCTCTCATTCAAGCACGACCTCCTGCTCCCGTCAGGTGGAGGAAAAAAAAAAGGCTGGAAAGTCAGTGACCAGAAACCGCTGCAGAGTTTCGCTCCAGCGATGAGTCCCTGGTGGGAGGAAAGTGGGAGCAGCAGGTTCCCAATTCCCAGGCCCCCTGCTACCTATGGGAGGTGTCTCCTGCCACGGAGAGGAGGAGCGGTGGGCTTTCTGATCCTGCCTGTGGCCTGTTAGCCTGGGCGGCCTCCCAGCGTCGTCAGCTGGTGCTCCTGCCTTCCCAGGCTCCCCGGGATTCATTTCCCCTTGGCTCCCTGGCCATTTCCTGTCCCTGACGCTCCGGCGTAAATGCATGGTGTATGGGTCGATACTGCAAATAGGCCTTCTCTCGGGAATTTATGTTAAGTCCCCCCTCAATTCCCCCAGCCTCGGAGACCAAGCGGCAGGCAGTTTTGCATGGGGGTGTGCTGTTCCCTGAACCGAAAACGGATGCAGAGACGCAGACCCGTAATTGTCTCTGGGTGGTTTTTCTTGCCGACTGCAAAGCCAGGTTTGTGGGACAGTTCTGCCACTGACTGGTCAGAAAGGGATTAAGGCTGGCGGGCGGTGTAAATCAGACGTGGAATTTTATGGATATTGATGGGAACTGGGGGTTAAGGAGCGGTGATCTGTGCCCTGATAAAGAGATGCCTTTTTTATGTAGTTCACATTCTGCAGCAAAAGAAACGGAACGAAGAGGCTTTGTATAAATTCATGAGATCTGCAGCAACGAGCTCTACAGGGGATAAACTGAGGAACTCGATAAGCCTCATATAAATCCTCCTGAAGATATTGGGCATACTGGATTTGTGCAATCATTTTTATTTCATAAGCACCAAAAATAATACTTTTTTAAAACTCTGCTATTACGCGTTTTTTAAGTTTTCGAACCGATCGTCAAGGTTTTGTTGATTTTTCGAGTGGCCGCTTGTGAGCAGTTTCAAGAAAATTGTGTCTTTAATCCATCAGGAAATCTGAACTGAATGTTTGGCTCTGCAGTTTATTCTATGGTATGCGTATTGAGAATTTTTTGTTAGCTTTCTTAAGGAGGACTACATTTTAACCTGATCTTGATTCAGGCCCTTGTGTAGAGTTTTTATATATTTTGTCATATTTTTAAACTTCCTTCCCATTATTTGCATTTTTAAAACTCATGGGGTTTTAGCAAAGCACTTTGAAATCATATTAACCATCTACAGCTACTATCTTCAATAAAAATGGATTGTTTGGTCTCCTTTCTATAAGGTCTTCTTTGAAGAGAATCAGAGATCCTAGCTTCAGAACAGTGCTTCATGTCACACCAAAGGCCGTACACTGAATGCTGTGTATTGAATTTTTTTCTTCAGCCTGCTTTGTTCAAAGGAAGACTTTTGTGCCTAGAGGGCAGGGTCTGCATTTAAGATGACCCTCCTGAGGCACAAAAAGATAAAACCTCCTCTAGCAGTGCTGTTAACCCCTCCCTCCAAGCACCTGGACAAAACAACCTGAAATTCTGTGGTGTCAGCACCTCAGAGTTGACATCCACCCCTTGTCTGGCCAGTCCCACGCTTGAAGGTCTGTCCCCCCCACCACCCCCTTGCACACGCACCGAAACACTTGCTCTGGTTGGTGGCTCTGTCCATGAAGACCTTGGACGAGATGACCGTGCCGAAGGGAAGGAACATCTGCATCAGCTCGTTGTCGCCGAACTCTTGGGGCAGGTGGTAGATGAACAGGTTGCAGCCTTCGGGTCCTGGAGGAGAGGAGAAGGAATAGCCTGACAAGGGGTGCCTGCAGAGCAGCACAAACACGTCCTAAGCCTTCTGCTAGGACTGAGCTCTCAGTCACTTCAGTGCAACCTCTAGTTCAACTAATTATTCAGTCCATTAGACAATTTTGTTTTAATTGTTTTCAGCTCTTGAAGAGATAGAGCTCACTTGAGGGTTCCACTTAACTGAGTGAGAGCTCAGCTGGAACGAAAACCAAAGCACAGAGTGGAGACTGCCCCCAGGGCCTGAACTGAGGATCCCTCCCACTTACCTGCCTTAATGCCTGAAAATGAGATTCACTCCTAGTTCCTGACTGCCCCCGGAGCGTTGCAGGTTATGTGGTATTCCTTTTTGCCAAAATTTGAAATGTTTTTTTTGTGTCTGCCTGCCAGTTGCGAATCTGCACATCTTTTAAACCTTCTTTGACCTTCGTCACATAATGGGACAGATGAAGTGCCGTGCATGCCTCTCTCCAAAGTGTGCGCTTGTCAGGTGCCCGTTTTCACACTCTGGTCACAGTGGAGGATTGGTGCGGCTGTTGACTGAACTGTAAATTCACGGGCAGTCATCAAGTCCACAGGGGGCACTGTTGCACAGTACAGCAAGGATATTGGATAATGTGAGCCCACCCCGCCTCGGCTACACTCGGGAACTTTGGGAGTCGTGCTTTGGGCCCCCCCTGTGTTCTGAACAAGCACACCCTCACTTTCTGAGGCCCTCGGGAGCCTAGAGAGGAGGATTCATGGATGTTGCACCAGCGTCAACGCAGCACAAACAGAAACACTCACCTTCTCTTTGCTGCTGCTGTTGGATAACCTGCGGAGGCTGTGGCAGTGTCTGGCCGATAGGGGTCAGTGTGGTTGCTGGGTAAATTGCTGCACAGAGAGGGAGAATATAACAACATCCTTAAATCTTCCCAAACTACAGAGTCTTTAAGCCCTCCTTATTAAGCGCTCAGATAATTAAACATTTTCATATTCGTGGAACATGATCAGTGGCCTGATTTTTTTTTTTGTACTTATTATTTTGAAGCAGCACACCATTCTGATTCTGCAGAGGGTATGATGCACTACTCCCTCAGCAGCTGGATTATGTGGAGGCTGGCTTCATGTTTCCGTAGCTGTGTGTGTCAGTGTTATACAACATTACCCAGAGAGATGCCGGCGTTGAATGTTTTACAAATTGAGTGATTTTTTTTCTTTCCAGTCTGACCATACCTCTGAAAAGCCCAGAAGGTGATTGTATATTAGTCACAGCAACACTCCTAATACTCTGCCTCTGTGCTTTGAGATCGGAAGATCTCTGTTTATCACTGTTGTTTTATTCATACCTGTGTATTGCTGTACGCCAGTGAAGGCCTGCTGGAGAGTGTCTGCTGCTGTGGGGCTCTGGGCTGGGGATATAAGAACATTAGAAAGGTTACAAATAAGAGGCAATGGCCCATCTAGCCTTTTGTTCTTTCAGTAGCTAATTGATCTACATAGCGTGTTGCATAGTCCCACCTCCCATTGTGTAAAGAAATGCCTCCCGTTCTCAGTTTTAAATGAGGTTGTGTACTCTGACTTCTTCCAATCAAACCTGCAGTGAGACACGAACCGGAGTCCGCTGTGGTGACTTTGTCAGTGCCTTTAGGGATTCTGAATTCTCAAATGAGGTCATCTCATAGTTTCCTCTGTCCCAAACCAAGAGGAATTTATTTTTTTAGCCTGTCAGTGTAAGGAATTTCTTAAGCCCTGGAATGTCCATGGTGTGTTCCTATCTGGACTGATGCCAGTACAGCAATGTATTCTCTGTAGCATGGCGATGAAAACTGAACACGGTATTCTAAATGAAGCCTTCCCGATCCGTTGTGCGATTTGAACACAGTAGCCCTCAATTTAAATTCACACAGAGACTTGGAAACGGAAATGGAGAGTTAATAAGATGCAGACCCAAAGAACGAGGTCTAGCAAAACATTTGCGTGTTTTTCCTTTTCGTTTTTAAAGATGTTCAATTACTGTTTTAACACCTGGTCTCTGCAGTCATGCTAGTGAGAGATAGAACGTGGATTTCGTCCAGGGGACTGCTTTAACCCTGAAACAGTTTTCGCGTGTCGGGAAGCGGGGTGTCTCAAGGACTGCATGCCCTGTCAGGAAGCCAAGCAGGGAGCCCCCCTGGGGCGCAGGGCGGGAGCTGACCTGAGTACGGAGGCAGGCCGTTGGTGTAGACGGCCTCCACAGCTGGGTGTCCGTTGGGCTGGTGAGGGATGCCGGTGAAGCTGTTGACGATGGGCGTGACGATGCTGGGCACGGCGGAGGGCGCGATGTTGGCTGGCGGAGAGCTGAGACCTGCGGAAGATTTGGGAAGAGCGCGTGGGGGTTTGTCACACCAGTCCCAACACCTGTACCACTGATACAGCAACGGCACAGGCCGGAGAGGGCTTCGCACGTATCGACAGGACAGAATATAGCGAGCAGTGGTGGCAAAACAAGGAAATGGTCTCTACTTTTTTTTTTTACACAGTTTCATGCTCCTTAAAAGGATGGATGTGAGGAAGCGTGCTTCAAACGCCATGAAAGCTTTTATCCCGCAATTCAGCTCCCTACTGAACGGAGCACTGTCAGCTGCAGTGCAGTCAGTATTATTTTCAAAGCCCAAAACATGAATCTAGCTGATTAGCATTTTTTCAAGTAAGTCGGCCTGTCAAAAAGAGTGGCGTGGTTTTCCAGATGCAAGAGGATTTATGTGAAATCCACCGACCACTCTTTCCTACTTTTTTTCCCGTTCCAGAAAATCAGACTTTGCGAGGATTAATAGAAGCAGAAATTTTCTCTCTCCGTCTCGCTGCCCAGTGATGTTGACGGGCTGGGAGAGATGCTGCTGAGCTTCAGCACGAGGTGAGGAACAGCTCCCCAAAGGCCCGCTTTCAATCTGCACCGTGCGCTCGGATTGGATGGAAAGCTGGTTGTCACGGAAACCCTGAAGCATGCCATCTCTGCAATCTGGCGTGTGCACGACCCTATAGGAAACTATATATCTGCATGTACGCATCTGTTGAGAGGTTTGGCCGGGAGGGTGACAGGTATCGCACATCTCGTACATTTCATTTACCAGCTCATGTCCCCCCCCTCCCCCCCCACCCCATTCAGGGAGCCATACGCTGGTGTTGTTGGAGGCTGACAGGCCTGTGATCAGGGAAATCACAAACCAGGCTGTGATAGCTGTTGCATTTCTCTCCCATCTTTCCTCATTGGGCTGCTGTTTCCAGACGTTTTCCCCAGACCTTTGATGTGTGACCCATGATGCATGAAACTGGTATTCCTTCCTTGTTTCTGTCCATCCCCTCTCCTTCCGAGGCCTGTGATGGTTATTCCGGAGAACCACAAGATCCATACCGCTCGGAGTGGAAGTAAGGCTGATCTATCGTCACGCAGGTTGCACTTCCGGGTGTTTTGTAGTACTCCACTGCATGCCTAAGACGTCACGACACAACTCGGGAATCGAACACGCAGTCAGATTGCAAAGTCGCAGGCCTGAGGCTTTGTGGTGGTAACCGGAGGCACTCGGAACCAGGAGAGGACATTGTCACAGATATTTCCCTTGCTGCGGAGGGATATCGGGGCACACCCACACCAACACTTCCCATCTCTGGTCGGGAAAGGTCCAGAGGCAGAAAGCAGTCTTTATTAATTTGTATATCAGAATACAAGGAATTGGAAAGGGGACAGTGAATGGATGCATCAGTTGTGCTCAAATAGTAGAAGCTGAGTTCCTTTCGCATACTGTATACATGTATAAGCTTCTGTAATTGCTTTGTGCAATATTGGAATAGTTAAGGTGATACTTCTGTGTCTGGGCAAAGTCAGGATGATGTCAGCCCTGGCACTGAGATTCCAGGCTATTGCAATTGTTTGCTCCAGCTAATCCTTGAGTTTCAAGATCTCCAGCTGGGTGGCCTAGAACAGGACATTGGGGGTAACATCACACTGGCAGGATGGAAGGGGAAAGTAATAGAACTCAGTGTAAACATACAGTGAATCGGTGGCGGAGCCAAGGAACCTCCTGGAAGCCAGCCTTATTCCAGACTGCCCAAAGAGAGCCCCAGTGCTCTAAATGTTCTGCTGGTGTATGAAGCTGAAGAAGGACAAAATCCTTGCAGCACGCTGGTGTTGCAGATAAGGTAGAAGCAATTTGGCTAAATGTATTGCCATAATCTGCCAAAGGTCCTGAAGCCAACAGACGCACGACGCAGACCACCTGACCTGTGGACAAGGCAGTTTCTTTCAAGCGTCAAAGATGGGAGTCTCAAACTGCGGTGTCATTAGTCCCAGGATAGTCTTCCGCCAGCCCCGGTGTTTTCTCCTGCCCAGGCTAACATTTCGGTTCGGAGCCGAACAGTTCGCTATACGTATTTTTGTACCTCTGGCGCGGCCCTTGCTAAGCATTATTATCAAAAGCCATCACCATGCATCACTGTAAGGACAACCCGCTAATCAAGTGAACCATCTGGTAGAGCGCTTATCATCATCAAGCTTAAACGCTTTACATCTGTTGATCAAACGTCTCTTTGACTGTTTTCCCTCAACACCCTTCACCTTTCGAAAAGGCACTCTGGAACTCCAGCCTGACTGGCATGGCCAAGTTGGGACTTTGCGCTGGGTCAGTTTAGGGCTCAAGGTAGGCTACTCTAGCTGAGCCATTATATACAGGAGGTGGCCTGTTTTTCTGGTTTTAAACAAAGGCTGCCTTTTATCAGCCGCTGTGTTTTTTTTTTTGCTTCGTTACATTTTCTTTTCCGGAGGATTCAAGCTTTTTTTTTTACCGCATTACAACGCCTACATTCCCTCATGCTTATCTAAGCATGTATTTGTGAGCTTGGACCTTGGTATTTGTTTCAGATAGCTGCGTCATTCCTTGTGCCTCAGCTGTAGCAAAAAATGTACCAGGCCCTCTAGAAACGACAGCCTTGCCAAATCTGTGTGATCTTTTTTTTTTAAATAAGGAGAAGGACACTAATTCAGAACAGAAGTGGGGAGAAACACGTGGACAACATGAAGTGAAAGAGAGAGCCCACCAAGTGACCTACCACCAAGCTTCCCACAAGACATTTTTATCCACAAATGATTTAAAAATGACAGGTCGCCTGAAAGTATTGGGTGTTCCACAAATGTCTAAGAAGGGGAAGGCAGATTAGAAAGGTACAAAAGAGAATCTGACTATTCTACCATGTGCCAATTAAGAAACAAAGTTTTTATTGAGAAACAGTCAATGCAAGGTTACAGTACCTCTTAACGTCAAGGTTACCTCTGCCTCTTAACATTTTTCAAATAAAAGAAAAGCTATGAGTGTACTGAATTGGGTCAAGGTTGGGGGCTGTTACTGGTGTCACTCACCTGAAACTGGGGTCATGGGAGTGGGCGGCAGGCCATTGAGGTTTAGCGCCCCCATCTGGTGGATCTGTGCGGCGGGGAAGGCCACGCTAGGCGTTAGGTATCCACCGTGGGTGGCAGCCATGATGGCGGCCTGCTGCTGCATCAGCTGCAAAGGAGGAGGACAGAAGAAGGGGTTATGGGGAGGAAGGAGGGTTTTCAGGGAGGGACCATGGAGAGAGAGCGAGAGGGAGGGAGGAGGGGTTTCGGAGAAGGACAGAGGAGAAAGGCGCAAGTCAAGAAGGTAGAGATGAAAGAGAATGGTAGAGAAAAATGGACTTGTGTTCGATACACAGGGGCATATGACAGTAGCAATATGCTTTAAGACAAATACCCCATTTTTGCAGTTTCCAAATGATCCCCACTTTAATTACAGCATTCTTTGAAGACATTTCCTTAAAGGATAATCAGAAAACAAATTCATGAATGCCTTCCTTTTTGTACCAATAAGTCTTTCAGCTGTGCGGTGTTCTTGGTCACTGGTCAGGCCTTATTAAGCCTGATCAATTAGGCCCAACGTGTGTGTATTAAGATGAAATCCTGTCACTGGTGACCACCCTTAAGTCATTTACCTAAGGGTCAATGGCCCTGTCAGCTTGAGTATGAAGGTGTTGTCTACGTAACTGTAGTGTGTGAGTCCACACCACAGACAAGCCAGGTAGGTAGTGGTGGGGGATTTGTGTAGGAAAGGGATGCACAGCTTCTTTCAATTTTGCATCAGACAGCTACTGGACCATCTGAAAAATTCTAACAGAGAGCAGCACATTGTTTTCAGTCAGTTCTGCCATAAAAGCAGAAGAACTGTCCTTTTGCAGAGGCACTAATCTGTTCTGCACAAGGCGAAAATGAGGCATGGTATTTTTTCTGCTGTCCTTGTCATTGTGTGATTTAATGCTCTTTGACGTTGCCAACATGATGTTGGCAGCACTAAGCCCTGTGTGTGATGCAAGATTGTTTGTACACACGGTACAGAGGGAGTAAGGAGCTAAATCATGTCCCAGAGTGCTTCAGTGTTCGGGAAAGCAGACTGTTACCACCCTGCTGACTGACCGTAATGACAGGCCCTTAGCTCTAAGAAGTGGACGTTTATACATGTGGAATCACAAAGTACACACAACTATTTTAACAATTTAAGGAATCTTCTTTTGTGTTGTCAGAATTAGCATGTGTTGCGACTCAGATATTGGGTTTATTATTTTTTGTGTAATATTACTGGGGAATGATTTGTGCTTGTCTGTTTTATATGACGCATGTTTACCAGGAGCCCCTCTCTCCACTGTTGGAGCTATGTGCTGGCCTGTCCTCCTCAGCTACCATAATTAAGTTTTTGTCGATCAGTGGCTGTTTCTGGGTGGGTTCGGAGCCCCCTTGCTGTGCACTCTTAAATGGCAAGCTCATTTTCACTCTGCTTTCCCTCTTAGCTATTTCTCCTCCTGTCCTCTTGTTTTTCTGCTTCTTTGTGGGGCTTAACATGAACAGATAATCAATTATTGCCACTCTGTAAGCTGTAGGTTGCCGAAGAACGAAATAGTTCAGTGCCAGCTCACTCTTCCAGGAAAACAAACAAAAAAAAAACTTCCGCAGGAGGACTTTGAGGAAATTGCTGGACTCGTAGTCCGCTATGAGCTGACGCTGAGATTTCACCCAAACGTTTGCTGTCCTGCCCTCACAAGGTGATAGTTAAAAACAGAACCAGCTGCACCTCTCCTTTGCCAAAAAGGCCCTGCTCAGTAAAAAGGCACGATGCTTCTCGGAGCACCGGCTTTGTTAATGATGATGCTGCGGCACCTCATTGCAGTTTCCCAGCTCTGTCTGCATGGAGTCCCAGGATGGGAGAAGCCAATTATCTTCCCCTCAGTGGCCCTGTCAGCTACCCTGAAAGTGGCTGTCCTGCCCCGGGATGGGAGCCACTGGCACCTCATCCATTAGCTGTGCGTTTTCGCCACCGCTGTCTGGCGGCGACTCTTGTCATTTGCATAATGTGCGCTACATGACGAATGGGGATCATCCCGTTCTGCACAGGGGGAGAAGATAAATTGAGCTTTTAGGGAGGGAAAGCAAGGAAGAGAAAAGAGCAGGGGGCAGAATCGAAAACAAAATAACCAAGTCGAACAAAAGACGCCTAGCAGCGACGCCGCCTTCGTGACGAGGGGGTTTTAGACACTTGTGGCGAGATGAAACTGGGATTGAGGTGCTGCTGCCCGCCACCCCCTGTGCACACTGTGCCGTGAGCTCCTAATGGCTTCCCCAAGCTACAGGGTTGGGGTGACAGGTGCTGTCGAGTAGGGGTTCCCACTCCTGATGCTGGGAACCCCAACCCTGCAGGTGGTCTTTGGGGCTGATCTGTTTGACAGCTGAACCCTGTGATAGATTAAATCTGAACAGTTGCCTTCTTTGTGACCGTGTTTCATAAGCAATGTAATGCAATTATACTGTATATATACACATTATATTCTACATTCTCAGTGTGGGGGGGGGGGGGGAGGAATACTTGCAAATATTCAGATTCAGCAGTTTGCTAGTCTGGTTAAAGATGCAGTAGAGTAAAGATCTGTGCTGGGGTGAACAGGACCAGGGATAGGAACCCCTGGTGTATCATGAGCCAGGCAGGACTGAAGACCAGCAGGGAACCCACGTTGTATAACGTTCTGGGCTGGATGGACACAGTGGGTTTGGGTTTAGTCTGATCAGTTTTGCTGTGGCGTTTTAAAAAATCTCACTTCGGTTAATTGTGTTGTTTTATATTTTAAATGTGTGAAGACCGCAGAAGGCCCTCGCGGATGAGAAAACTTACATTGCCTTCGACTTGAATTTCCATCAGTAATGGCTGTTACCTTTTTCTACTCCTTACAAAAAGTAGCCTGCATGCCACAGCCTCTATTTATGGTCAGCAATCTGCTTTTATATTGCCACCTGATGGCATCATTCTGTACCCCAGCCAGTAGGCAATCTCCTCTTTCTCACATGTCCGTTATGCCTGTAGCACAGCTCTGAGGGTTGTGCCACTGGAAAGGCTGTTGCATGTGACCATCTCAGCCAGTCCTGTATCGACACGGGGAGAGAGAGAAGATCAAGGGTCTCACTTATGTGAAGGTCCCGCAGATCCCTTAAAACCACACTCTGTTGTGCATACCAGAAGACAAGCTGAAAGAACAGAGCTTTGTTGGAATTACTTGAGCTCTAGGGTGTAGTTGATTGCATTTAGCTTTTCTAGTGTGTGCTTTTCTGCTTGTTTTTCTGCTTATGAAGCCATTTTTTCCCAGAGTGAAGATCAACTTTCAGCCCCTTCTGAATCCTTACCCTCTGGGGTGTGAATCCCCATGAGATCCCCATGTTCATACTCTGTTAGATTTCATCCCCCTTTTTTTGCAAAACACAGGGCTCTTACGGTTAGTGATCACTATACAGCCTAGCGTTTAAGGCAGTTCTGACTGACATATTTCCACACAGCTCCTCCAGCATATTACAAATGACTAATAAAGCCTGGTGCGATAAAGTCCTTTGAACCTTCACCCTCCTTACTGATCTGGCTAGCTCAGTTTTTGCAATAAAGGTGCAGTGTTTTATTGTTTTGTTTTGTTTTTTTATGGCCGCTCGTCTCAGAACATTATTTGAAACAGATTCTCAGAACATTGTAATTGATTTTGGCACCCTCGCAGATTAAACAGTTTGTCTTGCCAATAACGGTGAGCTTTTTTAAAAAATAAACGAAACCTCTGAAAAACGGATGCACATCCTTTCTCATTTTCGCACATTTGTGACATGAAGGTGAAAACCCACTGCTTGCTGTGGCAGCAGGTGTGGATTGAAGGCTTTCAATTCCTGGACAACACTGAAGAGCAAATAAATCAGTTCACTGAACAGTAGTGGGGGCTTCTACTTGAAAGGCTGCTGGGTGTACTTCCTCAGTTTGACCTTAGGGGTGCGCTGCAAAATAGCATCAAGCGATTTCTCGTCTTCGCCCAGCAGAGGGCGATGTTACCCAGTGAGACTGCACGATCCACCAGGATATCCAAACACACACGCAGGCAGATTGTGCAATTCATTAGGAGCAAATTAAACGCGCACAGTAGCTCTTTAAATCTATTTCATCTTCTTCTTTTAATTTATTACGTTCTTTTTGGATGGTATGACTCCTTTACTACACGATGAAAGTATTTTCTGGCTTTCTTTCAGCGCCCTGTGAGTCACAGCAGCAGAGGAGTCTGTATGTGTTGCAGGAGTCAGAGGCTCATTGCTTCAAAAAAGGCATAAAAAGAAAGAATAAATCTGAAACAGCCTAGACTGACAGGAAACCTTACTTTGTAGAATTTTGTGGGGGTGTTTCTTTTCTCTCCGAGTCCTCCTATTTTTCATTTTACCGTTTTTTTTTTTAAAATAAGTGTTTGAAACCATGTCTGTTATCTTTTTCCATACTGTAGCAAACAACCATTTTCTGTGATATAACGTTTTGTGGCACGGACCTAAAGATGTCGCTGGATTTAAAGAGGTTTTACTCCTGTGGGAAAACGCGGCTCTCTGATTTTTTTTTTTTACTTTCTCTGACTGTACTGTTACCCCCCTGCTGCTCTCAGCCCCCTCCCCTGGTTTGACTAAAATCCAATTTACTGGCTGTCAGCTCAGCCTTATAATCCTATCCATCGCTGTACTCATGGAGTGGCTCTTTAAGCTCTCCATTTGCCACATACATTCACGATATTCAGGAGCTGCTCCAAATGCAGCCCAGTGATATAGCTCTCCATAGAAAAGCCGTAACAGCTAAAACACTGGGATCCTTCTAAAACAGTCCCATGATGCCTTGGGGCTGGATGGGATTATAGTAGGAGATGATCCCCAATGAGACAAATGACCTCTTGTCATTCTCCACAATGCTTGCGTTCCTAATGCTTTGCCATCACTTGAGTCTTTGCTCTTTAGCTCAGTGATGGTCAACAGTACCAAGTCCAAGAACGGAACAGGTCGGAAGCACTGCCTGTGGTGGACTTTTTGTGGCAGAAGTCAAGTTTGTTTTTCTGTGCAAGAGAAGCGCACGGCTGCTGATTATGTGGGCCGCAATGTCTGTAGGTTCTCCTTCTGTCGATGTATAAAGCCTGTTTAGCTGGGCCTGCTTTCCTGCTTTATGTCATGTCCAAAGGAACTTTTTTTCCCTGAAAGGTTCCTACACAGCCCAACCAGGCTCTAGTAAAATGGAAATCGTGAACCTCTAGACTCCGTTTCGCCTCACAATCAGGCACCTCTGACATCACTCCGCAGCTAGTTTATTAATTGTAGTTATTGCAGGAAATGGTGCCTTTCTGAACATTGCAGGTATTGCATTTTCAAATGTAATCTTTATCTTTCATGTAGTGCGTTACGTGGTTAGTTGTATACCAGCATGTTGCATGTGGACACACGAAGGATAGTGCTATTTCTTCAGGAATCTCTCTGCTACAAAACAAAGGAACAGGTGGACAGTAGGATACCTGGGGTTTCCCCATCTGTTGATGACGTAGGTTGTGCTACTTAGGAATCTCCATACGCACACACTCTGCAGTGGGGCCTGGGTGATGCCCGACTAGACTGCGAGCATATGGGAAAAAGGGATCTAAGTCAATACATCACTGGGCAACGTGGGCTTGGCTCAGATTGTGGCAAACAAAGCCATTTGAATACGGTGAAGTAGTTTTGAGTTGGTTTAAGAATATGGAATCCTTCACCATCCATCCCTTGTCAGTTACTTTGATGAGCTGCACCACAAAAAGTGTGGGCTCCAAGGCAGGACTGAGAAGGTGCATGTCCCTCCTCCACAGGTGGGACACCCAGCCCATCGCAGGGCCACGGAGAAAGCCACAGTTTGCGTTCGCCTATCCAACCTTGCCAGGTGGGAGAAAGCTGGAGCACCTCAGAAAAACTCATGTGAACGCAGGGAAGTCACGCAGACCTCCAAGAGCAGAAGAGCCAACCACCTTGCCATAGTCCTGTCACATGCTGTCCTGTAATTCCCTGTTCCACATCTAAGGCATCTCAGCTCTTTGCCCTTCCATAGACAGTACAATATCATGGACCGGGAAATACTGTCATCAGGTTTCGAGTCTATGAACATCATTTTGTGTAAATAATACGAATGTTTAATTTTATGTTAATGTCGATAGTATATTAAATGAGACTGATAACCAAATACATTTTTTGTTGTGTGCTGTAAATGTGATACTATTTGGGAGTGTCCTACTGTGATAAAATAGAATTACAGGAGGGATGACCTAAACTTCAACTTGGCTTTGGATAATTTTGCTATTTTGTAAAAGTGCCTGTCTTCCAAGTCACTTGAGATTTGTTCTTGTTTTTCTATTAAAGCTTCGTTTTGTTGAGCCTGTGGTTTCAGGTGCCTTAGCCTGGTGTTTGCTTGCCTACATGAGCATGAAGCTTAAAGCTTTTAGTCTTGATGCAGCCAGTGACCTTCATGTGGCCTTAAAAACTAGAAAAAAAACCCTTTCATTTCCAGCAGTGCTGCTGATGAGGCGTCCTTTACTATGTAAACAGGTCAGCTGATATTTCCACAGGTGGAAACTTGATTGCTCCTTTCTAGCATTTGGCTCACATACTGAATATTGTGTGCTCTACTGTTAGCATAGGTGTTTACAAGAAATGATGTTTAGAGAGGCTGACCAGTGACGAAGGATTTCCTTTGACGGGAAGCTAGATGACCTGGGGACAACCTTGTGGTTTTCTCCTGAACCTCCAAGCAGCAAGTCTGGGGACTTATAGCATCCTGGAGCTTGAACTCCAGAGTATAACAGGTCTTGGGTGGAAGAAGAGAAAACTTCGTCGTCCCCACTTCCCCTAGACCTTTCAAATCTCCCCTGGTGAGGGGCAGGTCTTTTGGCATCGCAGGCCTGACCCCTGCTGGGGTGGGCTTTGCCACTCGGGTTGCTCGGGGCTGACCGAGACGCGGCCCGTTTGAATCCTGGTTGGGCCTGTACTTGTGCGGGACACGGAGAATGCAGGGATCTGGAGCAGATGTGTGTGAGTGAGCCTCTTAAACGGTGGCTGCGGGAATGTTCGTGGGTAGTGTTGGACCACCTTCCTATATTTCCTCCGGCTGCGGTCCAGTGTTGTTTCGCTGGAATTCCCACTAAGGAAAGTGAGAAGTAATGCCCTAACCCACGCGAGCTTGCCGGATCCTGAGCGATTTGACTCGGGAGGACAGCCCCTTCGCGTGTGTCCACCAGAGCGACAGGGGACAGTAAGCCTGACGGCAGCATAAGCAGTCTGTTATGCTGTGTGCATTGTGGGAAGGTAAATAAACGACTGAGGGATGGCCTTAATGGACTCCCTGCAGGCCTCCGCCCGGCAGAACAACTCTCCCGAAAAAATTTGCATCTCTCCATATTTGACTGGGACAGGCTGCATCTCATGAATTCTGATGAAGGCAGGACTTTTATTTGAGTGCTCAGACGTGGTTTTATGCTGCTACATTGGGGATGGTCAATTTGCACATTCAATGCTCAGAGCCCTTCCCTGTGATGTGAAAATTAGGAAAATAGATAAGCCCCCGAGACTCGGATTGCCTCAACAATTAATCTCTGCATTTAAAAAGGAAAAAAACTGTGTGTTTATACAGTTTTGCTTTAGAGAGGAGCTGAGGAATACATCTCTGTCAAAAGGGAGCCTTTGCTGAAATCTCTTTAGCCCCTTTTAGGCAGTACCAATTCTACAAACACGCGGCTATTTTTGGAATAATGACCTGAGTAAGCATCAAATGTAAGCAATGTGTTTCTTTAGACAAAAATAGTCTGCTGTTTGTAAGAAACCACAGTAGGGGGGTGAGGGGGTAGCTTTTCCTTGGAAGTAGAAATTTTGTATATTGCTCTGTGGAAATACCGCTCTGACACAAGGTATAGCTTTTACTAAACACCGAGCAGAGGGTAACATCTGGGTTGGGTTGTATGGTCTTTTCTCCCTGTAGGACCTGATGCAGGACACCTACACAGGAGTCAAGACGTTTCAGTGCAAGTCCACTGCTTCAAGTATCGAAGGACTATACCTGCAGTTGCAGGAAGCCGGGATGCTCAGCAGCGACAGGAGGAGTCACACTCACCGCATGTGCGTAGCTGCTGTAGGTGCTGAAGGGCAGAGCGATGGCCGGGTTGAAGATCCCGAATTGCCCCACCATCTGCTGCATCCTGCGGATAGTCCGCTCCTTGTCCGTGTCGGCAAACTTCACCACCAGGCTGGAGGAGGCGCCCTGCAGGTGGAGGGTGAGAGAGTGAGGACGGGATCGAGCAGAGAGAACGCGCAGGATTGCCATTCTTTCCCCGACGGGACACCGATTGTTGCTTTTCGTTTGCGCTCATGGAGTATTCTCACCCAACGTGTATTCGCAGTCCGTTACGCATCCGCTTTTAATGATGAGATTCTCGGTGCCACGAGCATGAGGTTCCTGTTAAATCCACATTCATCAGTACAACTGTGCTGCCATAAGACAATGTTATTTACATCGGAGCCAATTAGCATCTTAATCTCCCCTCCAGATACTGTGCATCCACATTCCTTCATTCTTGTCAAATCTTTCCAGCATCTTCAGGCAAAAGCCTCAGTAAGTGTTCGTTGCAAATATATTTTGGGATTTGTGTTGGCACCTTGAAAAGCACTACAGTAATATGTGTGTGATTACACAAATATCTTCATATTCTAACAATAAAAAATCTGGTCAGTCTTGACAATACCTCTGCATTGGACTTAATTTAAATTTAAACACAAACTTCAACGTATTTGTTGATTTTTTTTTCTTTTTGAAATGAAAGGAAAATCCTCCGAGCTAGCAGTCAGCCTTCAGCGGCGTCAGCCTGAGTTGTCACAAGCACGCATGCAGTAAAGGGCACGCCCAAAACACCCCCCCCCTCTCCATCAGTCTCCAGCGCAATGTTAAAAGCACCAGCCCCCACGTCATTCATTAGAATTTCAAATGATCTAAAGCAGCACTTGACCTTTCCTGCGGTCTGACTCTGTGCCCCCTGAAACTGCTCAATCGATACCCACAAAGGCCGAAATATTATTCGGATCTGTCAGCGGTGAAAGGTCGTGCGTCAGATGAAATAAGCAGCTCCCTGAAATTGATGGGAATGTGTTGGCTTTTAGTCAGAGAGACCCTTTTGCTGCTGGAGAGGCCAAAAAAAACCTTAATGTCAAGGGTGTGTTTGGTCCCGGGTGGGAGGAGTATCTGAATTGCAATGTATTGGAGTTCTTTCATGCTGCAGAAGTTAGATGAGTTTAACAGGTTGCCTGGGTTGCTTACAGGTAGGTAGTAAGGTGGCAGATGAATGCATTTTTTTTTCTTCTTCACTGGTCTGTCTCAAACACAACCCAGCCTATACCTCCTTTGAGCTGTGCCATGACCTTAGTGTGACCCCAGCACCGTGTCAGACAGACCATGCTGTAGTACGCAGGCAACGCGTTATTAACCAGGAGCTAAAAACATGTGCACGTGTGCACCATCACAAAGACCATGGACCTTAATAGATGCTGTCTTCTAACAGGCTTGGCTGCCTTGTGTGCTCCTGCACTGAAGCAGGATGTTGGAAGCCCACTATCTGGTTTTGGAAGTGACTCCTCCGAAGGTTTTCAGGGTCTGTAGCAAATCTGTTTTAAGGGAGCTCAAGAATAATAGAAACTTTCAGTGCATCTCCAGTCTCCCAGTGACTGTAACATGCTGCTCTTGCTTAAAAGCATGCAGAATTCGGCCATTGTGTGCACCTCTTAATAAGGGTGCTGGATAAACCAAAAGCCTTGGGACTCCTAGCTGGTTTGATAGTGAGGCTTCCATGAGTTTGCCTGGATCTTCTCTGTTCCATGGGAGAGCTGGAATGTGTTATCTGAAGGTATTAAGTTGTCTGACTGCCTGAGGTCTAATACAACTTATTTCCCATTGATGCAGTCTGGAGTCTGGATGCATATGTTAATGCTGTTAATTGCTACCGTTATGTGAGTGCAATGTAAAGGGACCATATTGCCTTGGATCCTGAACACTGTAATCTTCCTGATAGCCTGACAGTTCAGGCCCCTGAAATGCTTCTCTTGTGACATCTGCTGTTCCCTGTGGACGTTAAAGGAGGGCTTTATTTATATCATTTCACTATTTTATTTTCATATTTGTCAAATATTTGTTGCCTTATGAAAAGAGAGAACCAAAGCACCGAAGACAAAGTGGTTGTTGCACAGACATGCGCACGTGGATCAAGAAGCTCGTGTGCCTCTTTCTAGGACGGATTCTTGTGTGTATTTTTGTGTATACAAGAGGCACTCTCAGGAAGAACTTTGTCTTATTTTGCTTGGTTCTCTTCCTCTCTTGCTGTTTGACAAGCTCAACGTCGGCTCTTGCAGGAAACGACTCCGCTAAGGAATGTGCGCAAGTTGGGTTGCGAGAAGGGAATTTGTGTTGCATGGAATTCTGAAGCCCACAAAGAGTGGAGTCGGGAAGCACACACAGGAACGTTTCCAGCCTCCCTGTCACTGGTACACTCTTTATCTCTTTCTCCTTCTCTTCACTCCATTGTGAGGATCCGGAAGGTGCACAGAGCCAGAAGATACAACAGGAGGCAACCAAGGGTCAAAGATTCACACATGGATAGAAACCAAGCGCTCTGGGCATTTTTGATCTCAGTCTCCCAAGTCATTCGGGTTGCTCTGCGTTCATTTGGATGCACCCATTTGCATTAAAGAGACAGGAATAAAAGGTTCCGTTTGTGAAAGGAAAAAAAAAAAGATTCAGGTCTTTGTCAAGTGAAGGAACCAGGTAGCCCACAACTTATGCTGGAAAATTTCAGAAATTGAGCCTGGTATGTGCTCATCAAATGTCTGGCGCATGAATAGGCTTCCTGCTTGTGAGCGTATTGAAAATTTGCTCTGGCTTGGTGCTCCTGAACATCTCAAAACTACGTGAAAGTTTTTTAAGCCTCCGTTGTTTTCTCAATCATAAATCAGGAACACACAGTATCATTCTAGCAACCTAGACTACGGTGACCTGGCTGTGTGAGAACACTCTGCTTATAAGTAGCTTCAATGACAACAGCTCAGAATAGCTCCGCCAGCAGCTGAGGAGTGGATGTTAAGGGTGTTACAGTTTGCTTTGCTTTGTTCCAGGAACGGAGTGTTTTTGAAAACTCTGTTAGAAGGTTCTGGGGTTTGATTTTCTTATTTATTCATGCTTCCCCTCCCCCCCCTGCACGATATTGTTAGTGTTTTACAATTTAATGATGTACGTTGCCTTAAGGCTGCATCAAATAGAAACGAAAATATCTTAATAAACTGCACTGTGTGTGAGTGGAAGAACAGATTAATTCATTAGAGAAAGTCTGTTTATCATGTAAATTGCTTGGTCTCTGGGCCTTTGGGGCGAAACTGTGCGAGTGCTTGGCAAATCATAAGTAAAAATAAGTAAAAATAAAAGTTATAATCTTGTGAATGAGGGGACGTCCTAAAATATCACAATCGAGCCTCCTTAAAAAAAATAATAATGCTCTGTTCCTAAATGGAGACGCGCACAGATTCCAGGACGAGGAAGAAAGGTTCATGGAGGTGGCCGGGCTCGCTGGCGGGTCACTGGTCCTGTGCCCGAATCCCTGTTCCCGGTCATCCTGTCCCGGAGCCGCCTCGTGCGCCCCCTGGGGTCGGGGCAGCTCGCTCTCCAGCCGTGGCCCCGGTTTGTAGCCCCGCCGCGGGCGCTGGCAGGCCGCCGCCCAGAGGCGGGCCCTAATGGCCGCCGGCAGGAGCCGCGGTGCCGGAATGGATGGTCGGCCGCGCCTGGAGATGCGACCCATCGCCCCCCTGCATAAAAATTGCACACTTACGCTGACCGAGCCCCTGAGGTGGAAAATAAGATCCGTCAGCGAGGCAGTGACCCGCGAACATGGTTTATGAGCACAGGCGAGGGAGGCATGTGTGCAAGAGTCCAGGCACACAGTATGTGCACTGACTCCAGCGAGCAGTTCTCTTTACCTATGGACCCCGGCGCAGCTGCTGTAGATGTATTGTATTCTCCCTGAAAGTTTGCTGCCGAACACTGTGACGTTTTTTGGTTTGACCTTGTTCACGCCCCGTCCCGTATCGCTTTGCTTTATGAGTCCAGTGTCGCGTCCGATTTGGTCTGTATTTAAAAAATAATTTATTTTCATTTTTTTATTTATTTTTCTGTTTTGTCCTTTTCACCCAGTCCTCCAAGCAAACTGTGATCTCTGCACGTGAGTACCTATGGTACACGCTCTGTAAAGCTGTGTGTAGTTCTATGTAGTATGTGGCACATAAATAAGACGTTATAGGATCTTTATCTCATGCAAGATGGAGAATAGGAAACAGGTTTTTATGCAAAGAGATGTAGGAGTGTGGAACAGACTTCTTTAAAGAAATGGCTGGACAATATTTTATTGTACTTGTATGCTAAAACTACTAAATGCCTTTCTTATGTTCCGATATACGGTCTTTCAATCCTATCAAGGACGTGGTCAGTTGCAGTTGCCCAGATTGAATGCTAATTAAAACTGCCATTGTACAGCTGCCAACCACAGAACGCTAATATAACCACTTCAAGGCATTTAGCAATGAATGCCTACATGAAGCAGAATGAATAATAATCAGTGTTTAGTCATTGTGAACGTAATGTTGTGAGCACGGGATTATAGCGGGGCTCTTCACTACAGCGCCGCGCGTTGAGGGAACTGATGGAGACCTCGTCGTGGGCAGTAAGCGCCGCTGCGCTTGAACACCACAGCTTAAATCAAAGTGCCATAAGATTTCCTTATCAATACACAAGACGGGAAGCTGCACATGAACTCTCACTCCACATGCACACCCCCCTCCCTCCTTTCCCCCCAGTCTTCTCCCCTTTCCCCCTCCTTCCCTTTCTGCCTTTCACTTCCTCCTCCTCCTCCTCTCCCTTCTCCGCCGCGTGTGTGCGCACACAAATGAATAATTCACCGGCGACGTGGCGAAAGGTGAAGTAAACAGGTCTGGCGCTAATCTCTCCCGAGACGGAAAGAAAGGAGGGAGAGGGGGAGCGAGAGCCCAGCCTTCCTGGCGGTGCGAGTCGCGGAGGGGGGGGGGACTCACCGGCATGGTCTGGCTGCCGTGGAGAGCGCTGATGGCCGCCTGCGCCTCGGCGTGCGTGGAGAACTTGACGAAGGCGCAGCCTGCAAGACGGAGAGAGACGGCGGGGGGCACGGTCAGAAACGGGATGAGAAAATTCAGAAATATTTGGGCCGTTCTGCCCCGTCTGCCATCTCAGGTAGCTCCTTGGGCACCCTCAGTGATATGGTTCAGATCCCTAGGTGCTTTCTTAAGGATTTTCAGTCACACTCCCTTTAATTGCCCTCTAAACCACCGGATGTTTAAAATGGAACAGGTGAAGGTTTTATTCCACGCTGAAAGGAAGAGAAAAAAGACCCAAGGTTTTGGCTGTGGAGCCTTCGTCAGGTTTGTCTTCAGGTGTGTCGCACAAGGCTCCACAGCCAAAACCTTGGGTCTTTTTTCTCTTCCTTTCAGCGTGGAATAAACCTTCACCTGTTCCTTTGCAGCCTGCGCATGCTGACGCAGCTCCCTACTGGAACTTCTTCAAGATATAGGAAATGACACAAAAGAAGTGCCAAGTGTAAAAAAAAAAGGTGATGCGTTTCACTGTGTGGTGGTTCAGTACCGGTTCCTGTGCCTGCTGAAGAAGACGTCTCACCTGAACATCAGAGATTTAGGACGCATGACTTTGAATCAGTTGTGCTGCATGGTGATTGTCGGTATGTGTTGATCTAACTGTGTATGCTGACAGTGAGGAAACTATGTATTAATGTATGTCAGTGTATCTTTATTTTTTTAAGTGGAACTGTAGAATAAGGCATTGGCTATAGAGTACTGTAAGAATTCACATATAAAATCAAGTAATGTCAAAGGCAGTCAGTTGTAATGTGGTGTTACACCAGAGCATTATGCAGTACCTCCTTTTAAATGGTACTCATCTGTAAAAAAAAAACAGCTCTTGTGGAGTTTGTATGTTCACTCTGGCTTTTCCCCAGGTGTTCTGGCTTCCACCCAAAGACATACAAATTAGGCTTCATTGGCTGCACCTAGTTCTCCCTCCAGGGTTTATCCCCAGTGAGGAAAACACCTGGGCTTCCCAGCTCAGTGTGTGCCCTTCAGCAGAGTGGTGCTTCAAACCTGCTCTGCTTCTGGGACTACGCACACAGCTTGCGTGCGCTGGAATACAGGCTGTAAACTGGCTTCTCCTATAGCTTTAGTGTGTCACAGTCTTCTCTTAATAAAGCGCTGGGAGCTGCTGTGGTCCAGGCTTGACTATTGGGGATTCAGAGGGTGGGCGTGTATTGCAGCATGCTCACACCAGAGTATTGGAAAGTATGTTGAATTGGTCAGCTGGGTGGTTGGGAAGTGCTGCTCTACAAAACTAAAACTTTTTTTTGTTGTTGAAAAAACGGCTGTGGAAAAGGAGCCTCCTAAAAAAGCGGCTTGGAGTTTTTTTGGAGTGGGAGGGGCTCAGAATGTGTCAGTGCGCCTTCTCTCAAGCCGTGACGTCCCTGTTGTCGTCTTGGCACGCAGGTGGCTGGCCAGGAAGGACTGCGTTGGTTCGGCTTTGTAAAGGCGGTGGAGTGTCGTTATAAAAGCTGTGTCTGCCAGCACAGACCAGGGATTTGCCTGGTGCAGGCCAACGCATGGAAAACATGTTCCCCCTGTGCGCTGCAGTGTTGTCAGAGTATGTTGTGCAGACAGGCTGCAGTACAAATTAGATTGAAGCCCTATTGCAGTAACCTTGTGCTTCCAGGGCTCTCTTTCTGCCTGGGCGTGAGGTACAATAACTACGGCCACTAAAAGACTCCGTTGCTTGAATAATGTTTAGAGCAGATTTCTATCCTGTTCTATCCTGAAATGTTGCAGAAATCAAATTCCTTATGAAGTTTTATAGGCTGTATGAGGACTATAAGGAAAACCAAGAAAAGGGATGAACAGGGGTTCCCAAAGTTGCCCAGCCTATAAAGACACACATCAAGAGCAGACGTCAGGCTCCGTCGTCTGGGAAACACAGGTTTGAGTCTGTGCTGTTTCACCAGCTGCGACCGGGACGCGCCAGGTCTACACACGACAGCTTAGCGGAGGGTGAAAGCACTTCCTACTCCGTTTCAGCACCCGGGGAATGTAAAGCCCCTCACCTTTGCTGTTTCCGTCAGGGCCTCTTAGCACAGTGCACTCTTCGATGACTCCATAGGGCTCAAAGAGGCGGTACACGTCCTCCTCCGTCTGCTGTTTGTTCAGCATCCCCACAAACAGCTTCCTGTCTTCTGGAACAAAAAACGGAGAAGGGGTTAAATTGGTAAACTTCTGTCTCGCCCCCCCCTCCCTGCTTCTGCCTCAGCGCAGGAAAAAAAACAAGTCCAGCTGCCCCGAGTTCTTTTTTGCACTGGTTAATTCCCAAATCACCTGCCTCTTGTTTTGTTGATGGAATGTTTTAAAACGGAACCGTCTAGGATGAGAGGAACGACTTTTTAGAGGTTTTTAGAATACGATGGCGTTCGCCCAGCAGGGCGCGCGCACTTCAGTGCAGGGGGAGCCTGGGGTGCTCAGTGAGTCAGGGTTGTGCGGCTCAGCCCCAGAGAGAAGGGGTGACTGGGCCGCGCTGCCCCTTCGCCCTTCGGGAAAGAGTGATCTCTAATCGACAGGGAGCATCCGGCCTCCTGGCAAGGCCACTACTCCTTCACTGGAGGAAGGAGTAAACAGAGGCATCCTCTTTCACCGGCTCTTCTGCTCCCACGTCCGCGTGTGTGTTTCCTGAGAGGCGCTGCGACACTCGGTGTCCTGTGGCTTGGGTCCGGCAGTGTTCCGTGGGACACAGGTTGTTACGACATCAAGCCGAAATTGTGCCGGATTTACGAGTCAGGGTGAAAGTATATAATTTACACATGTGTGTATACGTGTACGCCAATCAGTTGGCAGCGAGACCGGTGTGAAACACACAGCTATTTTTTTTCTCTTGAGACAACAGATTTTTTTCTGTTTATTCTTTTTGAAAAGAATTAAAGGGGCTGGCCGTCCCTGTCGTTGATCTTTATTGCCCGCGTCCTTTTGCTTTTGAGACGCCGGTAGCTTGGCTCTCTCGCCCAGGGGCTGGCTGTGACCCTGGCCCGCTGATATCTATATTATTGCCGTGTGGCTCCTGGTCGCGGGGCCCTGGCTGGCTCCCCCTCTCTGCGGCCGGTGATGCACTTTTAAAATAATCGCAAGTGTCAGAGCTCTGTCTCAGGAGAAGCAGCCCCGCGAAGACTCTTTATTGTTAGTGGCAGAATCAGAGGGTATGTATCAAAATAAAAGCAATTCAATGTGACATCTGTCACGGTGGATTGGAGAGCATTTATCTGCAAAAGGAATCCGCTGAACTGGAAAATAAAAGGCCAGGACAGTCCTTCCTTGAGCTGGGTGGTGTTGGTGTGTGTGTGTACGTGTGTCGGGGGGGATGGGGGGTGTGGTGGCAGTAGTTGCAGGGCTGGAGGAGACTCCAAACCTCATGGAAATCCACACAAGAACTTAGTGTGCGCTCCCATGGTTTGCCTGTTTATAACATTGTGCAGTCAGCCCTTCAAATAAAGCAGGAATCCTTCTGTTTATCAGTGCAAAACGGCCTTTTTGTCTGACTTGACATCAAGTGAAATGCATGCAGTTCTGCATTTCAATCTGAACCCCTGCAGCCTGTCTGTACTGTGTCTCTTCAGCTCCACATACCCCTGGCTATTGGCTGAAAACCCGCAGAGAGTTATACCCTGAGTTCCCAATGCGTTTACAGCATCTACAAAAACTGCAGTTTAACTCCTCCTGTAGAGGTAATTTAAATAAAAAAATGCAGGAATAGATGTCCATGAAAAATGCATTTCTTTGAAAAGCTTACTCTGTGGTCTGTGAGGCTGTCATTTATTTACACAAATATATTTTTCTAAAAATATATTGTGAGAGGAAGTGCATGCTGTCGATGTTCATTTTTGAATTTAAGAAAAGGCCCAGGCAAGGGAGAAGAGACACAACTGTTCACCGCCAGGCCTGTATAGTTTCAGAACAGCAACTGGGCTGTTTTTCCACCAGGAAGAAATGGAGCAAGTTTCTGATCAGAAAAGCGGAGGGTATTTTCAGAAACGGATCTAACCGTGCGTTAAAATTTCTCCCTAAGCTTAGTCTTTTACTTTCGCCACGCTTTTTATTCCTTGCTCAAAAAACAAGGCAGCACCTCAGGACATTGCTGTGACTTTTGATTTACAAGAAACATTTGCATAATGCGTAGTTCCCTTAATATGTGAACACGCTCTCACAGTACACACACTCATAAATAACTAAACATTTCTAGGGGAAGCCCCAGTCGACTCGGACTTGATCACGCTGAGTCTAAGACCCGCATTTCTAAATCATTAGGAAGAAGGAGAGTGGTAATGTTGCTATTTAAATCTCTCCCGCACTATGAAAAGACTGTCCCATTGCAACAGGACTCGCTTTTTATTTATTAACTGTATTGACTGACTTTAATGTGCTGTTTGTGGATTACAGTATCCCTGCTGGGAGTCTTGAACGTGCAATTACCGGCTGCAGGCTGGTTACTGCGCAATCTGCTTTCTGAAAAAGCTGTGTGCTGAAGCGCAGGAAACTAATTGAATATACTGGTATGTGTCTAGTTCTTAGTGGAGACACCCCGAGTAAACAGATTTTGTTTCTGTGTTGACTCTAGCATAGATTTTCAAACTAAACAGACTACACTTGCCTTTTTAAATTTAAAAGCGCCAGGTTGATATGAGCGCATGGAAAAAGAACAGTAAAAGGTACCGAACAGTGATATGTCCTTTTGTGTGCAGGAGCTGCTGTTCTGTGCCAAAAAGTTTAAATATGGACCGTTTTTTTCACTATAGGTTATGGAGAAGACTATTCAACATGTAGTCCTTCTAGCCCTCTGTACTAGAAGGTTTATGGTAATACAACCAGCAACTTAATTTATAGATTAATCCTGCAAGTTGTTAATTAAGTAATAGACCAGTGTGGTATAAACTGTTAAAAAGGAGGAGATATGTAATGGTTTAAAACCCCTGCTGCACAGTGCAACAGGAATCCAATTTGTTTTACATTTGTTAAAAAGCTGACCCATTTTTTAAACCGTAATACAATTCTTCAGGAGAATGACCTGTAAGAGTTGCAGGCTGAACAACTCTTTTGGGTTTGAGAATTTATTTTTTTACTCATACTTGGGACGGTGCTTTATTTCAATATTTTATGCACAGGATCGACCGGGATCCTGTGAGACCGACTGCATTAATAATAAGTACATGAAAAACAGACAGAAAGGATTCAATACAGTTAAATTCCCCCCCACCCCCCCACCTCCCAACACTGCCCTGTCATGTAGCTTGAGATGTTACCACATAAACACATTTCTGTTTTACCCTGAAATACTGGATCAGAAAAATGAATTTCTCCTGCGTTTCACACACTCATTTTGTTTTGCAGGCTCAGAAATGAATAAAAATATATCTGCAAACAGCAATGACCGTGGGCCAAGCTGCCCTGCAGTACGTACCTCTGCTTCCCTGGGAAGATTTATGAGTACAGCTCTCTACCCAAGATAAACACAGCAAGATATGAAAATGGATCGTAGCTGAAATTTGATTGGCTCTTACTGGCCATATTTTGAGGAAATATGGAAAACAGGTCAGCCAAGGTTATGTTTTCACAGTTTTGCATCAGTCATCATTACTATTTCACAGAAGGCAGTGTTTTAGTCTTTTCAGAAAATCCATTGTGACCACCAAAACTTTTGTCCTACAACATCCCATAATCTTCTCCCGACCTGCAAAACTTCATGAGAAGCGTTGCACTCAAGAGGATGCCATTTGGCCCATCAAACCCCTTTATTTCCTAGTAGCTAATTGGTCGGAGGATAACTAATAAACTAATTCTTAAAGATAAGGTATTTCCATCAACAGCTCTACTGGGTTAGCTTATTCCAGGCTCATAGATCTCATGAGTTGGTTTTTTTAATGAACATTTGAAAAGTGGTCAGAATAATGAATACTTGAAATCGGAGGTCATGTGCAAGGAATTTTAACATTTATAAGTTCCTGTGCATGTTCAATGGTTACTGTGATGGTATCTGCACTCCATAAGGCATTATAAGATTTTTGTTTTCCATCTTGGGGAAGAGTACAACATCACATTTAGAGACATTTCAGATGAATTCTGCTATGGACACTGTATCAGATTGGCCCTTGCTGGTTTATGTAGATTTATCAGTCTATTCTACCACAGATAAATGCAGCTATATATACTGTACATATACTGTATACATACAAATTGACCATAACTTAAATTTGATTGGTTCTTGGTTGCCATGTTTTATTATGTAGCTGCTGGTCTCAAACAAAATTAATAGCTTTTCCAAGGTAATGCTTATAAAGTCTGGCTTCGTTCAGTTTCAGCGAAGATGACGTTTGAATATTTTTTACAAGCTCAGTAACAAACCAGACTGCATTGTAGCCTACTGTATATCTTTTGAACAGAGCTTATTCTATGGAATAGGGGTAGTCTGTGACCCAGCATGATTTGTTCAAGTCCATAATTATGAAAAGTAAACTGTGACCTATGATTTTATTCTTGCTGTACCTATTTCCCATAGGCCTCCACAGTGGGATGAGGTTTTGTGAGTTTTCTGTCCAGTGGAGTTTGACCAGCCAGTTTCTGTGCACTGGTCAGTGTGTCACAGCTTGGCACGAGAACTCCAGGACAGAGCAGCTCCAGCCAGAGAGACCAGCTTAAGCCTCTCGGTCATCGTGGAACGTCATGCTGTTTCCGAAGCCCAGGGGCATTTCGTGAATGGAATCGCAGATTTGACTTTTATGAAGAGAGAGCGGGCCGTCTTTGACTGCCATTTAAAATTTTCCGTGACAATAAATAATTTCCAAAACTTGTTTTAAAAACCAGATGTATCTATATCTGCAATTCCGTGTATCTGTAACAGGATGAAATCCAACGAAGGTGTAACGTCTTGTCCAACAGAAAAGGCATCGTGTTTGACTTTTTTGTTTGGCAGAATAGTACTTTTGATAGTAACAATAGTTTTCCACAACAAATGTGTTGCTTGACCCCATAATAGGCTGTATTACTGACCGTGAGATGATATTGAGCCTTTCACATTAAAGACAAATTATCCTGAGCTCCTCAGTTAAATTGCTGTGATCTTTACAGGTGATGTGTTTTGTGATGAGCTGTGTGAGCAAACATGCATCTCATTCGCCTCTTCACATTAACAAGTGTGTGA